GTGCGTGTGCGGTGGCGTGTGCGGTGGCGTGTGTTTTTGTGCGTAGGGCGCGTTGAACTACTTTTTCGGGCTGTACAAGGACGTCCTGCCTACGCTCGACGGGTACATTACCGACACGCGATTGCTTCGTCGGGCCGAGGTCAAGAAGGAAGGCGAGGCGGAGAACAAGGAAAACGAAAGCGAAAGCGAAGACGAAGACGAAGAGCCGCGGGAGCGGATGCTGATCCACTTCGACCGCCTCGAGGCGTTCCTGGCCAAGCTGGCCGGCAAGGAGGAAGAGATCCTCAATAGGCGGGTCGCCCAGGTTCGACCCCCTTCAATCGCTTTTCGCTCACGTTGCAATGACTGTAGTTAACCGAACATCTGGGCTCGACACCACCCACATCGCGCGCAGAGGATTCGGGACTACAGGAGAAAGAAGGGCAACCGCAAGAGGCGCCTGTTCGGTCTCATTCGCAAGCGACAGAAGGAGGAGGAGCGGACCGCCGCTCAGCTGTCGGCCGCCGTGGCCCGCGCTTCGTCAAGCACGCCCGCCACCACCAGCGGCAGCGCCAAGCCGGCCCCCGGCGGCACGCCGCAACTGGTGCGCTGCCCCAGTTTGATTTCGTTTCGCTTTCGCTTTTGTATGCTGACAGGTGGCTGCAGATCGACCTGGGGGAGTTCATCGACTTCGGGCAGTCGGAGTGCCTCAACGCCCGGGACTCGGAGGCGCTCAAGGCCGTGTTGGGCGGGGCTGGTGAGGAGGCCTCCACTGCCACCCGCGCCGATGTATTGTCGAGCGACAGCGACGAGCAGCTGCTCATCAAAATCGCGTACGTGGAACACCCCTTGCCGGCCGCACTGCATAGTTTTCTCGGTACTACTGAGCAGCTCTGTGTGCTCCAGGTTCAAAGAGCGCGTGAAGCTTCAGTCGATCGAAGTCCTCGGGCCGAACCAGTCGGCCCCGCGCAACGTCAAGCTCTTCGTCAACAAGCCCGTACGGATCCCTCCCCCCTCCGAGGTGTGTACCGCGTCCCGTCAGGCGCGTGTGCTGAAGCGCTGCATTCGCGGTGTCTCTCCAATTAGAACATGACCTTCGACGACGTATCGGACGAGGCGGCCGATCAAGAGTTCGAGTTCGAGGAGCAGCAGGTGAACGACGCCGCGGAGCAGGAGGACGACGAACCCGTCGGGTCCAAGGCCCACGCCCTCAAGGCCACCAAGTTCCGCACACTCACGCACCTCACCGTACCCACCCCCTTATCACTCACTACTACTGTGGTGCGCGGCCCAGTGCGTGTGTTTGTGTACGGCGATGTGCGGTGGTGTGCGAATTAGACCTAACGCACACGCGCGGGCCAGGTGTTCATTGAGGGCAACCAGGGGAGCGAGGACCACACGAAAATGAGCCACCTGGCGCTCTACGGTTTGCCCCCTGGCCACCACCGACCTCTCCAAGCTCAAGCGCGTCAATCGCAGGCGCGGCCGGCGCGGTCGGCAGCCACAGGCGCCGAGAGGTACACGCGTGGGCAACTGCGAAGCGACCTTAAGGTGGCTGCTGACGTGTGGTGTTATCGACGCAGGCGTGCAAGCACCTGGCAGGGCCGCCGAGGAGCACCACCGACCGCTGACCGACGAGGAGCGCCGGCTTTTCCAGGAGCTGGACCGCGAAGCCGAGGCCGAGCTGGAAAGCGATGTGCTGCTGCGCTCCCTCAAGTCCCTGCCGCCTTCGGCCACCGGCGCACAGATCGCGGCCCTCCTTTCGGCATCCGGCGACGCCGAGGAGGCCCAGGCGGCCGTCACGGAGAGCGCCGCCAGCAGGAAGCTCGAGGTCGATCTGCAGCTGTGGCGCCGCAACTACTACCTGCACAAGATGAACATCCTCGTACCTTCGTCATCTTCGTCGTCTTCATCGTCATCGACAAGTTCACCGACACCTGCGCCTTCCATCTTCTCCACCACGGCATCGGCCTCTTCGCCGTCTCCGTTTTCTCTGACAAGCGGAGGGTTCGCCTCGTCGTCTTCATCCGGTTCGCCCTTCTCTTTTGCCGCCTCTCCGGCTTCTTCGACTTCTTCGACTTCGTCGTCTCCTTCGCTGGCCTCCCTGATCGACAGCTACGTCGAGGGCCTCGTCTGGATCTTTAAGTACTACTACGAGGGCTGCGCCTCATGGGTACCTTGCCCCTCACGCGCCACACACGTGCCTAGCC